AGACGAATTGGCCATTGAAATTGAGGACGAATTGGATGATGACTTGATCGAGTTTTCTAAAGAAAATTCGAACGCAAACACTTCTAACGGGCCTCAAGGAGTTCCAAATTCTGGAAATCTCAAAATCTGTATATACTGTAAAATAAATCCGTGCGAAAGTCCCTGTGGTCATATAGCATTATGCGAATAATGTCACAATTGATCGAATGATATTATAATTTATCCTTAGTATGCATATACATACATATATGTATGTAGTTAAAATCATATAAATAAAGTAAATTAATACATGGTCATGGTTGAACTGAAACCGTAATTGATTTTGGCTCCTAAATAGTAATAATTAGATTGCCAAAGAGAGGAGCGACATCCAGTGAGCGAGCGGAGCCCATTTTTTTTATAAAAATTTAGTTCATTCAACAGCAAAAACGACAAGAAACTTTCATCCAAATTTTAAAATTTTCGAATAAATATCTCAGAAAAATTTTCAGTATGCAGTTTTGTATTGTAGCCCATTAAAGTTTAGTAAAATAAAGTGCAAGTTTCAAGTCTCTAAAAATAACCGTTAAAAATGCATCTCTCCAGGTGTAAAGATCTAAGCGTAGGATCAATAAAATAGTGGATAGAACTTCGAGGCTGCTTCGAAGAAAGCAAATATTGTTTCATCCGCTGGAGAACGTTTTTTTACGTGAACATGGAATGTTCATCGTTCCCACGGCAGTTGGAACGACCCAGATTTACATATATCTGACCAAGCACTGTGACTCCAGCAACACTCCCCAAATGCTCTTTGGGGAATTTGCATGATGTTACAACGGCAACAACAACGTCGATAAGAAATAAGAAAAATGTAACAGGAGAATTTTCGGATCGATTTACAACGGAATTTAGAAAGCATTACAGGCATCCAGACAACGCTACTGCTCAAAGTACCTCATTGCCAATTTTCTTCAGATTTTACTCCCTGCGTTTATTATTTGTTTTCAAATGTGAAAAAATGGCTCAGAGGTAAGAGACTCGGGCCAATCGATGAAGAATTTCTTCTGAATTATTCGAGGAGTCGTACTACTCAGAGAGCATTAAAATAATGTAGGAACAAATGAAGTGTACCCGAGTATTCCTTAGGTAATTTCAAGAAGATAAAAAGTTCACGGTAATTGGTAATTTATGATAAGTAGCATATTGCCATACGTCTTTATGTGATGTGTATATACAGTGGGGTAAGAAATAATATAAACTTTTTTTTACCACTTTTGGCTATATTACTTTTGTCTATTCGATGTTTATCTAACTGTATACCTAGAATTTTTCTCAAATTTCTGAAAAAAAAGTTTAAAATTTTTTGGGGATTCTGGTAAGATTTGTTGAATTTTAATAATTTTTGTACAAAGTTTGAAATGTGGATTTATATGGTGCGTGTTACATAACTCGTTAGAATTAAAAAAAAAAATATATGAAACATCGATTAAACAAAAAAAATTGCACAAACTTCTCATCTCAATTTCAAGTATTTTAATTAGAATTTATAAATTAATTTTTTCCAAATTTCAGATCTTGTATTCTTATCGCATTTTTAATTTTTTTCTGGTGCACTTTTTTTCATATAAAAATTACATTGTATGGAAGAAAATGCATGATACCAACAGAAAAAAATTATCAAAAGTCAACGCGAGTTTTTAGCAACACTTGCACCTTATTGCACTAGAATTTTATAAGCTATAAAACTGCATACCAAAACTTATTCTAAAAATTAAAATTAAAATGCTTGTAATTGGGATGAAAAATGTTTGTGGAATTTTTATAATTTTTGTACAAGATTTTAAATTTTGATTTATATGGTATTTATTTGATAAAGAGTTATGGCCTTGTTCATAAAAAATAAAAAAGGTTTAAAAAAGGTTTATAAACTGAAAAATGTATGAAAACGTCATTTTATAAAGCTCTTTAAACCTGCTTTATTTTTTATGAATAAGGCCATTATACTTTTATATAAAAATAGTGATCTTTAAACAAACGTAAGATAAATAGTCAAAACTGTTTAAAGTGTTGAGGTGCTATTGTTTTGTCGCGGGCTGTACATATGTAGTACCCAAATCAATTATTGAAAAATAATACATTAAATCATTATCAAGGCGCAAAGTGCTTAAATTCGGGAAATTACGATTTCCCTTCCGCCGGTGACGACGCTTTGCTACTTGGAATTTAACATTTCTTAATTCATTTTTTTATCATGCGTATGCCTCACTTGTGAGTTATGTATTATACATATATGCATAATTGTAGCTTAGTAAATTTTTCAAATAGCCAATTTCTTAAGTAGTTAATAAAGGTATTACATTTAGAAATACCCACAAATCACGAAGTCGATTCGTGAAGCAAACTGTGATTGTTAAAGATAAGAAAACGTTTGTATTTTTAATTTTTAGCTCTGTGATAATAAGTACTACTGGCGTTTCAACACACATATCTTTGACCGTTTGAATCTGTTTAGATTTCAAGCAAATGTGTTTCAACTTTGCTTTTCGCTGATATAAAAAGCTTTTTCACTAGATACTACATACATACATTTCTAGTAGTCATGTCAGTTTTGGGTTTTGTGGTAGGTCATATGCCGCCGGTTTTTGTTTTGCTTTGGATTTTTAGATAATTTTCTGTTTTATCTATAATGCAGTTGCAGTGGCTACAACAACCCCGCCCAGATCGGTTGGTCTCTCAATCGTTGTAATCAAGCTTTACTAACGGGAGAAACAAGAAGCGTGCAGCCTCGATGGGGTATGTCCATAAGGACAGAGGCGTTAGTAGAGTAGAGCTCTGTGGGCATGCGAAGAGATGTTTCGAGTCATGGGGTGTGTCTCCGCATGCTGGGCATTCGTTCGGCATATCTGCATTTACTCTGATCAGGTACGAGTTTAACCTGCTGCAGTAGCCACAGCGAAGTTGGGTTAATGTGGTCCGAGTCTCACACTTTCCATTTTCCAGATGTCTGGAATGATGACTGTGGCCATAGACAGTTTGAGGACTTTGGTTAAATAATCGACTCCCGCAGGACCCATATTTTTCAGCATCAGCATACAAATGTCGTCGGGTCCAATAGCGTTGGAGGCTTTCGCCTTCACGATGGCTACCCTCACTTCGCCGCTGGTGAAAGCAAGAAGTGTACTGGGTGTTGGCAGCAGTGTTGCCAGTTTAGCCGCTTTCCGGCTAGATTTAGCCGGTTGCGATAGCAAACAGCCGGAGAAAATTCGGTTTAGCCGGCAGCCGATTTATTAGCCGTTTTGTCAAAAGTAGTTAACCGTTTTTAGCTTTATCTCGGAGAAAATTATCATGTCGAACTGTGTTATATAAAATTGAAAGACAATTTTTTTTAATCCGAAGTCTTTAAATACTGGGCCGATTTCAATGATTTTTATTTTAAGCAAAAATATACTATGACCAAAACATAAACTCGGACGCGACATTTTAGCATGTGTTGAAAATTTTTCTTTGGGTCATTTAATGCTTATTATTTTTTTATGAAAGTATAGCAAACACCATTTAAACCCAAACTTCATACTTTTTGCAAAAATTATGAAAATTATGCAAATTTTAACCAAAATTTTGAACTTTTTAATCAGCTTCTTTAAAAATTTTAAATTTTAGTGTAATATAGTACAAATTTAAAGTACTTAAAACTTACCGTTGATTTTTGGCAATTTTTTTTTGCATTTTTTCCATATAAAAAACTTGTCGAACATATTGTGTATGGAAAAAGTGCGTACTACCGTCAAAAATCAACGGTGTGTCCTAGCTAGTTCAAATTTGTTTATACACGGAAACTTTTGTCGACGCGGGTTATCACGCTAGGGCTAGGGCTAGGACAGCCGCTTCAGCGGGAGAGTTCGGAAGCGGGTCCGAAATGCATCCTGTTGGGATGAAGCGGGCTGCAGCAGCAATGACAACCCTGCAGAATTTACGCTCACCTACGTGAACGTCGGTTGGTGTGGGTAGGGCAGTGAAGGTACTTTGATTAACTTCCGCGAAGCCTTTCCAATCAGCTTTAGAAAAGTTGACATAGGTTCGGTGACCCGCGGAAACTAAGTGGACGGTTACATTAATCGAGATGATTATGGGCAGATGATCTGATGCCAAAGTCAGCATATGTCGATTTGTTATGTCGTTTGTCAAACCAGTGCATACGATTGTTATGTCAGGCGAGGTACTGCAGCTGCCCATGATCCTGGTGGGTGCGTCGTCGTTTATTGTGCAGAATTTCGAATCGTCTATCTGCTCAGCCAAGTGTGTTCCCCTACGATCATTTGACAGTTTTGAGTGTTTGTGTTGAGTTACTCAGGCGGACTCTAGTATGCCGTGGAAGCAGCTCGGAGCAAGGGGCTACGTATGAGATGGGCCACTACCTATGAGTTGTAGGGCCTGAACAAACTCGGAGTTGACTCCACTCGTTGCAGGAGTTGCACCTTACGGAAGTGGAGTTATGGTGTAAGGTTTGACCCGATGCCAGCCCTGAGTAGAAGTACGCGAAGCAGACATAGCGCTATTGACGTACAACTTTTTAGGGATTTCGCCGACCTAAACGGGGTTAGATCGCCGCTTAGCCCTTGGTCGAGTAAAACCCGAGTCATTCCGTTACGTAGAACCGGCTTTCGTGGGAATGAAACGTGTTAGATGACTGCGTATGGAGCTACGGGGCGTGTACGTTACATTCGCAACTACGGGTATATGAGCATGAGTGATTATTTTTAGTATATCTTTTTTAAGTTTTTATTTAAATACAATTTCGCGATCGAATCTTGTTCTTTATACAAAACTGAAGATAATGCATTTTCTAAGATAGATAAAACACGTTTTTGTCGACAAATGTGCAACTTGTGAGATTTGCTCTTATAGAAAAAAACTTGAATTTGACTTTGCAACGAGCTAACCAACCACCGCACTCAAGGTTAAATGCCCTAACTCACTTTGAAGATTTTGTGCTTGAAATTCTAAAACAAAACTAAACTGAATTTGCTAAACTGAAAACATTTTTCCTATCTTCTTTCCTACAGGTTTGGATCAATCAAGGTGATATCATTCTGGTCGGTTTACGAGACTATCAGGATTCGAAAGCTGATGTCATCTTGAAGTACACACCCGATGAGGCGAGAAATTTGAAAACATATGGCGAGTTCCCCGAATCGGTGCGCATCAATGACACAGTCACCTTCGTCGAGGATGGTTTCGATGAGGATATCGAGTTCGGCGATGAGATCAGTTCTGAGGACGATGCTGATTCAGTAGACAATATATGATTAACAAGAAATAAGCGCGAGTCTTCGACCCAACAACAACAAGAAGAAGAACTAAGTAAAATGAAAATTTGAAAAGAGTAAATAAACAAAAAATGCAAGTACATAATGATATATTGAAAAGCAAAGCTAGTTGAACAGAAAAGAAAAATTGTGAAATATTAACAAAAAAATAAAAAATAAAAAAATAAAACCCAAAACAAGAAAGTTAAAAGAATTAAAATAATTGCAAACACAAACACGAAAAATGTGAGCGTCAGCGACTTTAGAAGCAAACAATATCAAGAAATGGAAGAACAATAGCAATGCAAATAAACCACATATTAACGCTGTAAGAAAAAATTAAGGATGCCTGGGGTTTTCATTTCGAAATATTGTGAAATTGATTCTTTTTATTTATCAAGCGGTGTAATGAGAAACAAGAAAAGATATAAAATGCCTATCGTAAACATTGAGCGAATTCTATGCAAACTGGCAGAAATTTAGTCTTCAAGGCCCAAGGTGAACAAGCGTGTAGCGATAACAGCAATGCAACAACAACAACATACGTGCATATAGTCGAAAGATATGTGCATATGTACATATAAAAAAAAAA